TCCAACCTAATAGCAATGGCCTCCAAACTACTAGCAATGGCCTCCAAACTACTAGCAATGGCCTCCAAACTACTAGCGATAGCCTCCAACCTACTAGCAATGGCCTCCAACCTACTAGCAATGGCCTCGAACCTACTAGCGATGGCCTCCAACCTAATAGGGCGAGTTTGCGCCTGAATGCTCTCCTTCAGAACTTTGCGCTGGCCCCCTTTGCCCACCGGAATGTCGTCTCCCTTGGTACGGCTTTCATGCAGGAAAAGATCTCAGAAGCTGACTTGTGGGAGCCAGACAGCATCGGCAGCCTCACGCAAGCAACACTAATTTTTCAGATTCGGTGCACACTGTTGGCTGTCGGTTTGTATTATCTCCCAAGCCTTGTGCAGCTTGGTCTTGCGAGAGCTAGTGGTTGTCTCGGTCATCACCTGGTATAAACACAAGCAGCTGCCGCTTGTTGCAACTGTCAGCTTGCCCGCCTCCCCGCACGCGCGGCGTCGACAAAGAAAAGGCTGATGCAGTGAAAACGAAATCCCTGTTGAGCCGACAGTGGTAAGCACAAGCCATGTTCTTCGGTCAATGCCATGATAGATGAGCCAAAACCATCAAGAAGCTGAGAAGGGGATGTGGAATTCCGTAGCGCTTTTGAGAGTGCCAACTTCTGCAGGTGCTTGTCTTGGCGATCTCTAATCCTCCTTTATGGCTCGTTCATGCTAATTTTCAAACAAGTAGCTCACTACTCACAACCTTCGACTGAAACATGTTGCAGAATCAGACGTGTCGGATCCCTGGCTGAGGGCAAATGCACGACAAAACACACCACAGGGTGTTGCTTGGAGCTCCTAATCGCTCTAATGTACATCCTCCGGATGCCGAGCAGTTGCAGGTGCAGGACAAAAGTGACATGTATGGGAAAACGTGACTGCAAACTTGTAATGTTGCCCAAGTGCACCAAGCCTGCTGGCACCGATTCCACACTAATCATGGCTTTCAGAGGCTTTGAGAGCCGAAATTGAATTGCGCGGCCGATCACTACCACCAGCGTAAAGCTTCTGCTTTCGACACCCCCTCATGCCTGGCTTCAATTCAAGCTCTGACATTCCACTTCATCATCGGACAAATCCTGAGTCCCCAGCGGCAGTGGATGGCCAACCCAAGGCCTACGTAGGGCCTACGAGCCAAAGCCGTAAATGGTGCGGCCCTGCCGCTTCAAAGCATAAACGATGTCCATTGCCTGGCGGTCGCAGACTAGTGTCCGGCTGGGCTTCTGTGCACCTTTAGATTTTGTTACCCTACAGACAGCGTCTACAAGTACAAGTCTCCTGGTTTCTATGGTCTACAGTATTCGTTTGTGGATGTTTGTGGATTTCAGGAAGATGAGACTTCGTCTCTCCTTAGCTCTACCTCCTCCCTCCGCAATTTCAGCCAGGGTGCCGTGACAGTTTTGCGCCGAGCGTGCTCAGTATAGGTAATCCTGAGCTCGGATGGCGGCAATATTCTTCTTCTAAATACAATTTGTTGACTTTCATCTGCCTTTGCTTGCTCAGATTCTTCTCCCTGACTCATGGAAACTCGTGGGCTCTAAGAGCAAGACGAATCACGGAGCACATTCTCCAAGAAAGTCTTAAGGACACCTCTTGTCTCCTGGATTGCATCCACAAATCAAAGCCTCTGGGTGTCTCAAGCTCAAGCTGATGAGAGACTCAAGGGATCCTCGTAAATGAGACCACTGATGCGCTTGACCCCACCACGTCGGGCGAGACGCCGAATTGCTGGCTTTGTGATTCCCTGCCAATGCAGCCACTGGTGACTGGTGCATATCTTGGAGTGGTGTGCCCACTGAACAGAAATCGGTTGTTGTGCCAGCCTGAATGCTTTCCTTCAAGACCTTTCTTTGCCCACCTTTGCCTACTGGGATGTCGTCGCCAGCCTAAAGCAAATTGAAATTATACTCAAAATATCGATTTTAAAAAAATGTGTGTGGGTGTGTATAACTATATATATAGGTATATATAGAGACGCTCTGGTCAGGTGATGCTAGGTGTCCCGCATCTGCAGCCTGCCCCGCATCTCATTAGATGTTCAAGTATCATTGGCGACAAAAACAAATGTATTTGGAGACAAAAGCAAGACCTTACTTTGTTTGATTGTAGCTCGTATGCTGCCTTGTGCAGCTTTGTCTTGCGAGAACTTGAAGTTGTGGTCTCAGCCATTGCCTGGAAAGTTCCAGCCAACCAGTCTGGATGCGATGGAATTGCTTAGAATGCTGGTCTGAACAAAAGAGATGAATATCAGCCAAAATGCGGGGTGTTATGAGCTCCATGAAGTACCCAACAAACAAATCTGAACAAATACAGTTATAGGAACACCGAAAGCGTTCGTGCCTCTGCCTCTCACCGAAAGCGTTCCTGCCGCTCCCTCTCTTTGAGCCAAGTGGAGATCTCCGTGCCCAGTCACGAGTCACGGACCATGTTCGGTTTCAGAGCAAACCAGCAAACCGTCGTTGGCAGGTTTCTTTGCATATCATCACGGTTCAACAACAAGGAAAGTCTTGAAGATTCTTCGAGCTATGGAAATGGATTCAGTTACAAGTTATGCATTCAATTCATCAAACTCAAACAGTGCAATTGCTTGCTGTTTCGTGAAAGAGCTGAAACATCTGGCTTGGCCAGGCCATGGCTTTGCCACCAAGAAGGTGGATTGATGATTGCTAATGTGTGACACGCAAACTTCGAAAGCCATCCTGAATATATATATATATAATATATATATATACTGTATATCTATATATTAATATATATGACGTGCTGCTGTAAAGGATCTGCCCTGCAACTTCCTAAACTGTTCACGTCAAATAAGCTGGTGTCATCTGATTGATCTGTGTAAAGTACGCTTTGGTTGGATGCACAGGCACCCGAAGTGGCACTGATCTTCAGTGCATTCGGTGAATCTCCTGCAATGCTCAAGATTCAAGATGCTTCCATATTATGCTTCCCACGACAGGTCAACTCTGGCATTGACTCTGTAAAGAGCGCTGGCATTGCACTGGTCAACTCTTGAGAAGTGGCCCATAGAAACGGCATGTCAAGAAGCTACTAGTAGAAAGGCACCTTACTAAGTAACTAGTAGCAAGAAGCTACTAGAAGCTCTTGGCATGACTACTAGTAACAAGAAGCTACTAGTAGCAAGAAGCCACCTAAAAAAACTGTTCCCTTCCCTCTCCCATCTTTCCCTTTTGGCACCTGGTCTCTGCTTTCAGTGCCACTTGTTCGAGCATTCCTGCGATCCAGATCGACCCGAATCCCCAACCACTTGGTCAAAGCATGTCAAGCATTTGGACCGAACGCTGCCCGAACGCAGCAACGCCTTCGGACCAAACTCAGCGTCGGCGCAACGGCTGCCTTGTCCGGCGAAGGGAGACACAAACGCGTCCACGAAGGTCTTCGATGAGGTACTAGTAGCGGCTTAGTAGCGATGCATCTTGCTACTAGTAGCTTCTTGCTACTAGTAGTAAGGTGCCTTGCTGGTAGCGATGCACTTGTTCCTAGTAGCTTCTTGTCACTAGGCCAGGCACAACGTTGGCACCCGCCACCGGCAAAACATGACCTCTCCACAAACGGTCCACAGACGGTGGACAAGGTGCCCAGCTGCACCGGGAGACCAGTCTGGTCGTCCCAGCTCACCGACTTTCCGGGAGGCACCTCGCCGACGTAAAGCTTCTGCTTGGGAGACAGCCTCGAGATGGACGAAGACGTCACTGTCATCATTCGAGTTAGCGTCCGATCGCTCCGTTCGTAGCGATGCCCTTTGCTCCCAGTAGTACGGCCAGGAGCCCCTAGTAGCATTCTTGCTTTCATCCTCTTTCTCACTTGGGGCTCAGCAACCTCTCTGCGTGTAGTGACACGTACCCGCCGCAGCCTCAGAGCATTTCTACAGCACACTGCGATGTTGGCTTCACATCCTAAGCTTTGTACTCTTGTGCGTTCTGCGCGGCGGCCGCGGCGTCTGCCTCTTGGGGATCCTCTGGCCTCTCCCTGCAGGACAATGCAGTCGCCGCATTTGGAGCTCACGCACTCTGTTGCGTCAGCCTGTGAGAGCTCTCCTCTCCGATGTCGCTCGAAGAGATTCGTGAAAATGATGGATCCTGATCTCTCCCAAAGGCAATATCTCTGGCACAATGAAATGCTTTCCAAACGGTTTAGCAGGAACCACAAAAACAACATGCTACACGGCTACACTCAAGCTCAGCTTCAAAGCCTCATCCTGCCTCGTCCTGAACTTCTTCATCCCTCTCCACTGCTGCCGCCGGTGGTATCAAGCGGTCAGCCTTTGGCAATGCAACTGTCTTCCAACCTTTTCTGACCCACATTGGCCATGCCCCAATTCCATGCAACTCAAAATTGACCGAAAAACATCGCAAGAACAAACTACGGCAAAAAGCCAACAAGGGCTTGTGTTGCGGAAAGCAACTTTCAGTTTTATGCTGCATATATATATAACTTTGGCTCATGAGAATTCATGTGTGCTTCCAGATATATATAGTTTGTGAAGGAGACCTTCTTCCTTGAGCCAGGCACTGTGGCAGAGGCTTGGGAAAGAAGGGCATCCATCTGATGGATGATCTGCCTGGTGGGCGCAAATGTCGTTCCGAAGATTGCACTACTCAAATTCTAAGGTGAAATCCTGTAGGACATCATCACTCCCAGCATGGATTCTAGCCTCAGAAAGACAATACAAATGATTTTTACGCAGGGAAGGCTTGGGAACTCAGATCAATACCCTTGGCGATCTTGTGGGCTTTCTATTGTGCTGGTGTCCTGCAGGAGAATGCCAGAAACTCTGTGCAGCTTTAGAAAGAAAAGTAATAATAAAGCACATTGGTGCAATGCTCAACACCTTGCTATCGCCACCTCTGATCAGAACTCTCAGCCACCCTAGCCTCATCAAGCAGGGATACCAAAGCAGTCATCATCCATCTTTGCCGCACTGCCTCGAAGTCGCAAATCTCAAGGGGAAGCAGCCCAAATGACAATATGAGTCACATGATGTCATATGATGTCAGACATGTTACTTTGAACTTGAATGAGTCATATGACAATATGATTACTCTTTGTGCAGCTTCGCCAACCGGAGTCTGCTCGGCCTGAAGATTGCGGCCCAGCACCCCAAGAATGTGGACGATATCCTCGGGTTGTGCTTTGACGCCAATGGTGCCTACAAAAACTCTCAAATGCCAACAGGGTGGGTGCTCGCCACATTGACTTCCTTTGACTTCTGTGGGTCGTCGAATCGCCAAGGCACAGCGGCCGCTGCCAAAGGCCCAAGATCGTTGATCCTCACCTCCGACAAAACCATCGTCTCAGGTGTCATATGGTGTCATAGTGGTTTCCCCAACCCAAACCACAGAGTCTTAACATGTTTCAACGTCTGGTTGCAATGCTTCAATGAGTCTCCGGCCAGAAGTTCTTCTTCGTCCAACTCTTCCAACTTCCCAACAAAAAAAGTCGATTGCGCTTCGGCCTCAGAAAAATGTACAAGTCATCCACTCCTTTGCAGGCCAACCATCTGACCCCTCTAGAGGCCCTTCCCGGCCGCTTCGAACAGCGTCCAAATTCATGCCGACCAGTCACTTAATCTCAGCTTTGGACCCTTTGCATCTCGGAGCTGAGCTCAATAACACGACAAGCAGCTCCTGCCTCAACAACAACCTGACACATCCTGACACGAACATTCCACCCTTTCTCCTCAACAAAGCCAGGGCTTTGGGCCAGGACAAACTTGATTTCATTCAGCAGCCCATGCGCCAAAAACACTTGCCGGAAAGACCCGCCGATCCTCAGGAGCCTCATCGGAATTGGATCACTTCTGGCTGAGAAAAAGGAAGCAACTTGGAACCCTAAAAGAACAGGAGCGGAAGAGCCCACACCTTCCCCTCCCTTCCGTCCTCCCTTCTCTCCCTTCCTCCCTTCCTCCCTTCCTTCCTTTAACCTTAATGCCCCTTGCGGCTGAGCTTCTTGGTTGAGGTCAAGGTCCACAATGTGACAAACGCGTCCTTTGGCCTCAGAAACGAAAGTGTGCTTTCGTCCTTTGGCGCGTCACAACCCCCAAGATGCGAACACCCACTTCGAAGTCCGCCGGCCTGATGACAACGAACTTGGTCGAACAGATCATCCAAGCAAGCACTTGTTACTAGTAGCGTCCTTGCTCCTAGTAGTAAGGCACTTGTTCCTAATAGCTTCTTGTTACTACTAGTAAGGCACTTGTTACTAGTAGCGATGCACTTGTTCCAAGGCTTAGGCTGAAGAACAACTGCAAAACCTCAGCTCAACAGGTGGGACATGTGACGTCATCAGTCTCTTCCCTCAAGGACAGTAATCAAAAAAGACTTGAGAGTCGCACATCCACCCTTGCTCTTCCGTGACCATTCTAGCCTAACAAAAACATAAGCCAACCATGAATCACTGTAGGCATCTGTAAGTCTAGCAAATTTCAGAAGATGTGGGTCGCACAGTTCAGCATACTTTGGCTCCATCATGACCTAGAGAGGCCGACACAATCGATTCCGTCACGTTGCATCCAGCAATGCGCCTCCTGCTGCGAGCCGAGTCGTAGTCGCTGCCAAACCTTCAGCTTTGGTATGAGGAAGGATCTCAAACTTGCGGACATTGCGTTACCTTGCTAGCCTTGCTAACCCGCTTCTGAGATGTGCTTTTCTAAGTCTCCCATGTTAAGAGCTGCTGAAAGCAAGACTCAGCATGAAAAGAACGCGCATGGCACTCGGGAGCGTTCCTCGCTCCGCCCAGCAACCAAAGCAAGTGGACCGCCGAGCCCTGGCGACAGCTGAGAGCCAGCGAGTCGTAGTGGCGATGCCCTTTGCTCCGTTTGTAGCGAACGTTGCTCCTAGTAGTAAGGCCAGGAGCCCTTAGTAGCGTCCTTGCTCCGTTCGTAGCGATGCCAGGAGCCCCTAATAGCTTCTTGTTCCTAGTGGTGAGCAAAGGGCCTCCTGCTGCATCAAGCTCTACCACTTGAGCCCATGTCTCTCTGCGCTGAGCTTGGTAGGAGGAATACCCCACTGCCTCCGAACTCTCAAAAGCCTTTCATGGTGCTCTCAGTTGTTGGCTGAAACAAGAGGGAGCCTTGCGGATGCTTGATGCCTTACTTGTACTGACCTGAGACAGCACTGCAAGTATCTGCAAGTGTGCAAAGCTCATTGCACAACCGAACTTGCACCATCTTCCGGATGAATGTCCCGGGCCAACACGGTCAAAAGGAGTTGAACACACGGCCAGAAGGCATTGCTCCAACACTTGGGTCTGTGGTTTGCTCCAGGTCCCATCCTGGCCCACCTCTAGTTCAGCTGCTTGTCGAACTTGCCTTGCTGGTGCCTTGAGGCAAAGCAAAAGCCAGAGCCACAGAGCTCTGTACTATTCCGCTCCGCTCTGAGCTTGCTACTCGACAGAGCGGGCACACAGGCTTTGGACGCCGACGTGTTTGCAAAGCACACATCTGGGCCGTGGCAAATCCAAGTCTCTGAACCAGGCTTGGGGTTTGCATCAAGTGCAATGGCTAGCTCAGTTTCGGGCTAAGCAAAAATGATGTGCACATTCGGGCCATGCCTCACAGTTGGTGCATCAGCCAGCACACCTCTTGCTTCAGCATAACTGAAGAGGATTCACTTCTATGCACGAAGGGACGACGTGTGCTGACTGAGATAGTAGCAACCGGCTCGCACAGCAAATTCCAGCACACTGGACATTGCTGATCTGCACCTGGCCAAGTAAGAAGAAATTGCGGGTGTTGTGGTAAAGATTCGGGACACCAAACACCACCCACAAGTATCCCAACAATGTAGAGCTGCCTCCACACAAGGCTTCACTCATTGCCCTCATCCATGACTATGGAGGTAAGCTTGGATAGAATTCCTAAAGCTTCATAATGTCATGTGGCCTAGAATTCAACGATTTTGGCGGAAAAGGCTGTTCAGGGCTCACTATCGCTCCGACGCTGTTCGGCCAAGGTCAGGGCTTGTGCAATGCGAAACTGCCAACACTCTAGTGACGCTACGGCGAATGTCGGTGTCCGAACCTGTGGGTGTCACAACCAACCTGATGCAATATGTGCCTTGCTTCAATGGAGCTTGGGTGGCTTCAACTTATGTTGGGTTTCTGGAGTACTTGAGACTTGAGCAAAAGATTGGTGAAGTACAGAGAGATGACTCGTGCACACAAGCCAGCACAAAGGGTTCAAAAGCAAATCCAAGTCAAACATCTTGGGCTTCAGCTTCGAGCTTCCTTAGGCCTTTCGCATCTTCAGTGGTCACACGCCTTTGCATTTCAGCGACCTTGGTGTATCTCGCAATCACTTGGATCATACACATACGTCACTCAGGTGCGCAGTGGGCCCCCCTGCAGCAGCCGTACCGTGATGCTCCCCGTCGCGCGGAGAAACACCGCCTGCGGAACTGGACCAGACCACCTCACCATCCTCACCCTCGAGCTCTGATGGAGCTTGGAGCTAAATGGCTATGCTTGTCCCCTCACACCTTGGCCACGTCAAAGGGCACGCTGGTGGTATAAAAGCCCGTCGACATCAAGCCCTGGATGTCGTGTCCAAAACGAGGAAGAACTTCAAATTATGACTTGACTGGGCTGAGACTTGGAATCTCTCAAAACGAAACAAGACTGCATTGGGGGAATCGGATGAAACCGGGGATGCCATCGTCCACTTCGCCTCAATGCCCTCGTGTTCAGGGCCTTCAGGGCCTTCAGGGCTGGCGTGCCTTAGAAGGGATGCAACGCAACGACCCGGAAGAGTTGGATCCAAAGCCGCGGTCAAGGCACCACCCTCGAAGCCTATGCTTCACCGCTGTCATCCGCTCCTGCTTTCAGAGCTGGACAACTTTGGATCTGAATGAACAGATTGATCAAATTAGAAAAGCATGGTAGATAGATGTAGATAGGTCATGATTCATGATAATGATAGTATGTAGGTGGGATAAGTGTCTCAGTGGCTGAATGAACATCCGGTTTTGATCGATGTCCCTCTGCTGAGAAGTAGGCCGAAAAAATGGAATCATCTGAGCTACCCGCCGCCCGCCTTCCAGGAAAGTTCAATGTCAAGCTCAAGTCTTCTGGGCAACTCGCCCAGGTTTTCCTCTGCCACCTGCACATGTGTCGCAACCAACACCAATGACATTCTTGCACCCATTGGTCGTTCCAACATCAACAGTACAGGTGCAAAGCGAAGGAAGACCCCAGCCCATAACGTCTCGTTGATTCAATTGGAGCACCTGTCCATTGACAAGCAGCGCAACTGGCTTGGGCCTAGGCATCTCGGCATCTCATTCTCTCGTTGCTTTATCACATTTATCACTGTTCCTCGTATCTGCTTGGCTTCTGGCGGCTCAGCTTCCTCGGGAGGATCACCTGATCATCTGCAAATTGCTGTGCTCTTGGAGCGAATCAAGTCGATCTGCAAGCCTGCTTCCCGCGGTAGTTTTGTCTCCGGTCGAGGTCTTCGAATCGTTATGGCCTTGGCTTCCAAGTCGAATCCAGCGACGATTGGCCATTTAGTTCGTCCCTCTTTTTTTCGCCTGTCTCTGGCAAGTCTTGGTCCCTGAAGCCTTGATGTCTCACTGTACGCAGGAACTGGCCTGCTGAAGCACACAGAACAGGCCGTCGATACCTTTCCATGCCGGCAAATGGTGGATACCGTAGGGCATCCCTCCTTCGTCGGGTCCCTGACGCTGAGCCGATGACCAGAAAGGAGGCCTCTTCAAGATCCTCCTCAAAGGCCAAACCAACCTTCGAAAGTGCCAGAAGATGAAGATAGATGTGTCCAATGAACTCCAGTAGAGCTCTAAGTTTCGATCTCACAACTGCACTGTCTGCATAGCTTTGATGAGAGCAAACTGCATTTTGTAGAACGGGTTTCTTTGTTTCTTTTTCACTGGTTGCCAGTGAGGACTGACACAGCTAAGTGCTGCACTGTGAAGGTTCCGTTTGAATCCACGTCGATGGATTCGCCTTCGCTGAAAAGACATCTCGAAACAGTTTGTGGTGGCAGGACTGAACCATCAACGCCAATGCTGAACAAGTTGTCAAGTGGTACGAATGTTCTTGTTTAGCTGCTCTCTTTCTTCTTGAAAGGTCTTTTGGGGCACTGCTAAGTTTGAGGCCACACCCAAAATTGTGGTATCCATACTTCAGTCAATACCAATCCTGAGACTCTCACAAATCAAGTCCACGGTGAAGTGGTTAACCTCACCCGACTGCAACGCGCTGCTGCAAGACCACTCCACAGGGAGAAGCTGTGTGCCTGCATCCCTCGCCCATCCAGCTGATGCCTGAAGAGAGCGACAAAGCGCATCTCAATATCTCAATCTGATTGGAAGTTGTTGGAAAAGCGTTTGTAGCCAAAGTAGTTAAACCAAAGCTTGCAGCTATGTGGCACTAGCTCCGCAACAGAAGCAAGGCCACCCTTCGTCAGCATGACCTTATGAGAGACGAGGGTTATGGATCGCCCAGTTCACTGGTTCATGGAACACACGCAAGGGCCCGGCTGCTCCCGGATCACCATCTTTGGCCTGGCCGTATCATGCAGTGGCCACAAATCTCAATGCTGGAGGCATCTTTGTGCAAGCATGAAAGACAGAGGGCGTCTGACTTTGGAAAAAGATGCAGAAAATCAGGAAGCCTCTGCTGTGTAAAGCTCCAAGTCCTCATCGCCATCCACCTTTGGAAGAGGCAATTCTGTGCTTTCTTCCTTGCGCTCCCCTTGTTGACTGTTGGGCCTCCCATACTCCTTCTTCCAGGCTCTCCCTCAACTTTGAGAAGTCCTTGAAACGACTTGATGGATGAGTCCACAGCTACTGGGCTGAATAGAAACTCAAAGATTGCACCGCACCTGCTCAAAGATTGCTCCTCCGGAAATTGGAAGACCTTCTGCGGCCTCACAGCTATCAGCTTCGGCCATGGCTTCAGGCGAATGGATCAGTGTAAGCCACAAATGTTCCAACGAATACATCGATTTGATGGCCTCCAACCTACAAGCGATGGCCTCCACCCTAATAGCGATGGCCTCCGCCCTACTAGCGTCTTAGAGCCAACAAATACTTTGATTGTTCAGACTCTGTTGATGGTCTGCTGCAACGTCGTTTAGAATGTTTTTACAGTAGAATTTCTCCCCTGTCATGCTGCAGAAATGCCCTCAAACTCGGTATGCTTTGGAATTCTCAAATGAATGTCTGCCGTGTCTAAAGACGTCTCATGGCTGATGACAAAAGATCATGATAGACAAGCACCAAAATGTGCTCAGTCCGTTTCAATCAAGTGTGTTGGCGCTCTTTCCGAAAAGCCGGAAAGGTATTTTCGCTGCATTCGAAAACAGGAATCGTCGGCTTCTGGCATCGCCCTTCACGAAGCGTCGAGAGCTTTGCTGAACTGCGGGGCTCCAACTTCACACTGCGAACACCATGAGCAACTTGACAAATATCAGGAATACAAGACTTCTTTGTGGTCACTTCCACTGTTACCCATCACGTTCCTCAATCCTAGCTGCAGCTAATTACAGATTGTTTGAAAATACAAATGGACTTTGGGATACAAAGTCTCAGGACTTCTGTTGGTGTTCCACGGCGTACCATGACTCAATAGGACCTTCAGCTACTCCAAGAAGTGGACCACTGGTCTGATTTGAAGCTATGTAACCCGATCGGCTCGCGGTCCCAGGCCTCCTTCGTGAGATGCTCCACACACTCCGCGCGGAGATCCATCAGAACCAGCCGCTTCAGAGTCGTACGTCCCGAGCGTTTGACGGCCTCCGCCGCACAGGACGCCGCCAAGTCCAGGGGGAACTGCCTGGAGCTGCGAGTCAAGGTCAAACCATTGGCTTGAAATTTGACCCTGTCACTTCTAAAAGCTCAGCCGAACACTTTGCTCCAGCACCAAGAAGTGGAGAACAAAGACAGTCCCTCAGCGAAGTCTGCAAGCATTGGAGAGACACGCTCTATCGAGTGCCATGCTTCGAGCTGCTCGGAATCTGAAGAAAACATGAAGGAACTCAAGAGATACAGTATGCTAAGCTTTTGGCACGCGGGCTGGCGCATTTGCAGCTGCATCAAAGGCTGATTCATATGCCTGACAACTAACTCTTCAGGCTTGGAAGCTATCAAGCAAGCTGGACCGCACCTTCCTCAACAGGCTCAAGCGTCTGGCTTGTTCCTGTGGGTCTAAATCGCCTGCCTCAGCTGCCCAAGTGATTTGCCAAGGCAGTGTTCTGATTTATCGTTTCCAGGGTGCAGACCCAGATTGGTGCAACAGCATGCACTATGAAGCGGCATCGTGATGCCTGTCGCCCATCTAAGGAGAATAAAAATGAATTAAAGCTAGGTGACTCCCAGGCCACCGGCCAAGGCAGGCTTTAACCCAGGCCTATTTTGAGACACCTCCCGTGGCTCGCGACTTCAAACAGGGCCGCTTCACCAAGTGGCTCTTGTCGGGGACCTGTTCAGCTGAACAAGATGTTTCTCTCTCTCCCTCTCTCTCTCTCTCTCTTTTTCTCTGAGCTGCTCTACAACTGCCTCTGTCAAACGAGCACCCCCAATCTCACAACGTTGAGTGTATGCACCTCGGACTTAGCTCTTCTCAGGCGACGGACCCAAGGATACCGTGGGACCGCCCTTGAGTTCTTCACTTGGATACGGCGCTTCTGGGTCATCATTGGGTGGCCTTGCATGTGCCAGGGAAAGAAGGAAACGGCCGAAAAGACACAGCTGCTTTCAGTTGGGTCAGTCTTTTGAGACCCAATCAGCTCGGGCAGCTTCCGGCAGAGCCTGCCTCAGTTGAACAAGTTCAATACCTTCTGTGGTCTATATGACTCCAAATTGTAGATAGACGGAAGGTTGAACACAGCTGAGAGATCCTTGCAGGAAAGCCTAAGCATCTGATCGCAATACTTGTGTGGAAAGGATTGCTCTGGTTCTTTGTCACATCTTCCACTCACACTCAGGGGGTGTCATTCTTGCCAAGCCACTCAAGGCAGGACCTCCAGCCTTGTGGATTTGGCCATCCACCTGAAATTAAACATCAGAGTCACTCTGGCAAGTAAATCAGGCACTTTGCCCATCCACCTTAGGTTTGCCTGGGTAGATGGAAAATCAGAGTCCCTTGAAACATCATGCCATCAGGGCTTTAAATTCGGAGAGTCCTGAGGATCGCAACGACGTCCTCCTGGTAGAAAACGTCACCACTCTCACATTCAGCACCTCCCGCAGCCCGGGCAAGGAGTGAAACCAGTCAAAGTTCAAGCCAGGGCCCCAGCCAATGGGGAAATATGGAAAAAGCCTTGCGCACAAGCATATGCTAAGAAGAACTAGTGTTTACTTAGCTGTGGGTGGAAACTCTATCACAAGGTATTTCTATGAGACCAAAGTACAGCAGGACCTAAATGACTTTAGCCAAGTATGACGAGTTAATCTCACTAAGCTCTTGGCGGACCTTCTAACGTCTCATTTGCAGAATTGATGATAGCATCATAAGATCCTGAGCCCATGAAAGCAACAGAACATGACAATAAAAAACATTATATATATATATATACAAAAATATACTGGTTCAATCTGATTCACATCTTGAAAAAGGGTTGTTTCGCTTCATCAGGCCTGAGTCAAGTAGGTCTCCTTGCCTCACCTCGATTGTCTCTGCCACACGGTCAGACAATTTGAAGATGGTACCAATAGTACCTGGCAAATGAACAGACAAAACTGCGACACTCTACATGGTTTTGGATGGCACATAACATACAAAACACATACAAAACTCAAGAAGTGACCATTTCTGGATACTCTTAGAGTAGTGCCGGAAAGTTGTCATATTCTACTCACTAATTCACAGGTATTTGCTTTACGGCTGCAATCGTGTTTATATGACGCGGGCTTCATGATTGAACTTCTATGAATTTCTACATAAATCATTCAGGAAAAGCATTCTGGAATAGCCCTGCGCTTTCTGCCGCACTCTGGGAGCAGTGTCGCGGTCTCCATGGCACCCTAAAAGAAAAAGCCTTCAAAATCATCGGCACCCAATGGCGTTCATTGCACAAGCAGCCCGTGTGGCGCGCCGTGGCAACAAATGGGTCTACAAATCATCACAAATCGATAAATGATTCAGACCACGTGTTCCCAAAAGAGGGAAGTCACCAAGGCAGGAACATTAGATTGACAATCTTGCAGCTGCTATGGAACTCTGGCGCAACAACACGTCAAAAGTGGGCAGCTCGAAGAGTGTGCCTGCTTGTCGACTGCTTGACATGTCAACAATATGATGTGTGTGTGTGTGTCCAGGTTTCTTCTTAAGTTTGGAGCTGAGCCCTTCGCAACGAAGCAAGAGCAGAGATGGGCACACAGCTCAATGCGAGAATGAGCTTTACAAAGCCTACATGCCAGAGATACTCTTCCATGACGGCTCGTTTTGGCCGCTCCGAGAGCGACGTTGGGCGGGCAAATTTAGCCGGCCATTTGCGCAACCGCAGCGATTTGAGCTAAACACACTGCGTGCTTGACATCCAAGCTGCGTTTGAGCTAAAGATGTTGAGCATCCATGTCAGGACTATGGATCGCAGCGAAATCGAAACTGCTTCCACAGCCCTGGTTGAAACCCAGTTCATGCAAGATATATCTGATTGTGCCTTAGTCAAAGAAAACACTTTTCAAGCTTCTCTATACTTTTCAGATCTTGTCTGCAGTTTTCTAGCGCTACCTCAAGTCCTTAAGCTGAGGTCTCGCACTTGCCAAATCCTGCTCGTGCTGGCGCCATGTGCATGTACCTTAGCATGGAAGCAACAAGTCCGCCGCTTCTTTTTCGCCAATCAATCCAGTCCCTTTGCCACTGAGTATCCACTCAACCACTGAGCACGCTACGGATCTGGCAGAGGGCTCAGCAGTGTGGCCCCCTGCTGAAGCGACTGGAGCTGCTGGAACCTTGGCTTCGCTCCACTGATCGCCACATCGCCACTCTACAGTTCAACGGAGTCGCCGATCTATCTAGCCGTGCTGAGCTCGTTTCGAGCGAACGTCTTCCTCCTCATCGGAATCATCACAGCAGCCTGAAGTGGAAAGTGAAAAGGAATCGACACCATGGCCATGCCATGGCAGCACGAAAACTCTGAGCTTCCCAACCATGGCCGTACTCTTCCTAACAGCAGAGCGAAGCCCATCTGAGTCCCATGAAACTTTGGTGCATTGAGTCCTTGTGCCGCTTGATTCTGGTCCTTGACAAACATGGCCAATGTGGGTGACTTTTGGGCATCAAATCACAGTTTAGCATATTTCTGTCGAGCTGCAACACAGCCAGGAGACAGCCCGTCACCTGGATCTGTTCCCGCTCAACGCACTGCATGCGGTTTTGCCGGGCACCGACGTCTGCCGTTTGCAAGACTCGCCATGTGGACCAGAAGAGCAAAGAGCATGATGCAAATGAGAATCGGCCTCACCGATCAATCGACCAGCACAGCAGACTGAGACCGAGCTGAGACCCAGGCCAAATGCTCGTTGAACCTGGCCCCAAGCGTGGAGGAAACTCTGACGAAACAAAGAACTTCTTCCAAACCTTCAAAGTTCTGCTTTGGAACGAATGGAGGAGGAGCATTGGCCATCTGCACCAATGACAATGGCCTGTAGTTTAGGGCCTCACATCTGCGACATGTCAAGTGGCTGGTGGTGGATAGCAGAGTCCGCAGTGAGAGCAGTGTCTGTCCCATTGAGTGCAAAGCTTGAGTGTTGCGGCTGTTGTATCCCCAACGACTGCAGGCGAAGCTTAAGTGAAGAAGCATTGTCTTCACTAGCTGGTCTCTGTTTTTGCAGTTTGGTTGCGGCCACTTGACAACCATGTTTGACAGTAAAACAAAGCACTTGACTCAAAGCTGACCTGTCCCAAAGATCTGACAATCCAAGGGGTCGAGTACTGTTTGCCTCACGTCACATGTTTGAGGTCAAGATCCATAATGGGCCTCCTTCGAAAAACGGGTCTCCAAAGTCGTGTTTTTCAGGTTGTCTGTTGTCGATTTTGGAGACTTTGCTCCTAGCGTCCTTGTTCCCAGTCCACCGAATCTGAGGTCTGGACTGGAGCAAGTCTGGATGGCTGATAGCCGCTAATCCCTAGCAAAGATCTGCGCACGACACTCGATGGACTGTCTATTTTTTAATGATACGGCGACCACCGAGATCTACACCAGAGCGAAACTGTTCAAGCTGCCGCACCCCAATGAACCCTGGCTGCATAAACACCTTAAACGTCTCGAAGCTGAGTTTTTCCACTAAAAAGGAGAACTCTCAGAGTGTGGAGCAAGACCGGGGCAACCCACGTGGCCGCCGTTTCGTCTGAGAGCCGTGCAACCCACGTGGCGGCCTCGCACGGAGGTGCCTTGATATGTTGCACTCAAAGCCCCCCTTTGGACGTGGAACCATGCCAGTCACGCATGGCCTAGTGTTGGTTCCTTAAGCGTCTTATTTGGATTTGCAGCCTATTTGGCATCGCTACTAGGTTGGAGCCCATCGCTCTCAGGTTGGAGGCCATCGCTAGTAGAGTGAAAGCCTGTTGGTATCTATTTGTTTTCAGGAAACCACTGGTCTTTTGACTCTGTCTCAGCTTTCCACCGTAGTACTGCCATCGTAAGTGACAAAAGACCTGTCCTGGATGGACCAAATACACATTGCATTTCTTATGTCCTAGCAATTCATAGCATCATCGATTAGGATCAAAAGAAGCAGGTTTGGAAGCAGGTGTCCATAGGATTCCTATCGTCACCTCCATAAAACACGAGAGCAGTCCGGCGGCGCAAGGTCAGACCAAGGATTGCTGATCATGATCGAAGGAGTCTCAGCACGCGAAGTGAAGTGAGAAGCAAAGTGAAGAATGGCAGCTGTTCTCCGACCCCAGCTCCGAAGTGTGGCTAGAGGATTCCGACCCCAGCTCCGTCTTGAGGCATTGCATTGAAAATGGGATCCAAGAACTTGTTCCAAGCCTTGTGCATAGAGGCCGGAAATGAAGTGCATAGACAAAGAAGCGTTTTGCTGTCGTTTGCTGACCAAGAAGGCAAGAAAGCTATGGGCAAGGCATCTTCCCTTTGTGCCAAGCTCACAGACACTAGAAGTCTTCTTTCAGCACCCTGTCACATCTCTCTGAACAATAAACAATGTGTCTGATCGAGTTTCTGCAACATGTGCTGCAACATGCTGGAAGAGCAAGGGAGTCTGACCACACGACATGTCATTTGAATCTATGAAGCCTGGAAGTCCTTTCCAGTGTGATAGAGCTGCACCTCCATTGCATTGTGTGCACCCTGTACCTATGGCGTAGGTCTACATTGTTCGACTGTTCGGGCTGTTGAGCAAAGCCTTGTTGTCAATACTCGAGTTCCTGGCTGTATGCTCTGAGGGCGACTTGAAGGAAATTGACTGAAGGGTATAGTCAACTCCTGCGTAAAGACCGTGGAGGATGGGGAAAGAAAGCAAATCGCATGGGTGTTTGCTCGACGCACTAGTAAGCTGCAAACATGTTCATGTATCTAAGTTAGAATTACATAGATATGTATGATTTTATCAGTTTGATCTCTTGGTCTTCACACCATCGAGACTTCAAGAACTTGGGCCATGACCCTCCAATTGTACCAGGATCGCAGCTGGGTTGGTCATTCGTACTTCCCAGGTCACAGGTCCTTGCAGCTGAAGTTTTCTCTTCCTGCCCTTCTCAGAAAGCTTCTCGAAAATTGGAAGATTAATGTTCTTTTCCTGCAACAGTGATGCAGCAATCTTAAGTCTTTCGGATTGAGATCCTGGATGAAGGGTAACATTGACTGCGTCGTTCAAAAGGCTCCAAGCCTAGCCAGTCAACCGAGCAAGCAGGAGATCTGGGATGCCCATCGAACAGCTGAGCAGGTTGCCAAAGAACCAAGCCGTGCCCCCTCTTCTCCGCCACCTAAAGTCCTGTTGCGTGCGTCGGTGTTTCTTGTCATTCGACGCAAGCGAAAAGACATGCGTAGACCAGAATGGTCATACAATGTCACAAGCCAGAAGTGCGTGAGATTCTTTTGCTCCACCTTATCCAGCTGCCTCGAAACACACAAAAAAGGCTCGCTTTGTTTCTCCTCTCCGAGTCGCCGAGGCGAGTACTTTGGGATATCAATGGGCGATTGGCTCGTGTACCTCGGTGTGTAGCAAGTGCTCGCTTGCTGTTCAAAGATCCAAAGTCCGGGGAACAAACGAGGAGCAGGTAGCGCCAACAATATTTCCCCAATACCTTTGCAAGCAGGAGCCTTCATTGAGCATCATAAGTTCAATTCGAGACTCGGGCTGTTGGTATTGATAAGACCAGCTCCTAGGTCAATCTGCACATTACTACTGCACACCAAGTGCGTCCGCACGCAACATCCCGTTCTTTGAAGGTTTGATCCAAGCTTTCCACGACAGCGAAGGAAAATCTTGGCCACGCGAAGCATGCCTCAAGATCTCATGCCTTTTGAGTTGCCAGGGCAAAAGCATCAAGAAAAGACCAAGGTCCCAGCCAATGCAGCACAAATATCGTTGAGAGACGGCACAAACTTCGCATCATTGCTCACTGTTGCCAACTTCTATGAATGTGTCATGTCACATGTCACATGTCCAGTTCAGGCCTGCACAAGAGCTTTGTCAGTGAGCCAGAATTGAATAGCTTTGTCATGTCATGCATTTACATTGATGCAGCGGCGTTGTCATGTTTGTATGTATATATATGTATATAGCTGAGGGTCTATCGCTTGGACGTTATCAACGATCATGGCCACTCTGTCTCATGTGCTTTTGTTGTGAGGGAAGGATCAGCTGGAAACAAGCTGAGAGCCTAGAGAGCGAGTCGTGTGTGAAGACCTGCACTTTGCAAGAATGGAACGAATGTGCCATGGTCAAAAAAATGTCAAAAGTATATAGTTGGGTGCAGGATTCGTCATCCTTCTGTTATCGCCCTGATGGCCCGGGCCTTGGGGGGGTTGTACGAAATCCCCAGAATGAATTGACAACCAATTTCAATCATTACAACAGGGCACATCAAGTGTGGCAAATGCTGGGCAGCTGGGCAGCTTTTGTTCAAGCTCTTCAAGGAGGAGCAAGTTTCTCCTGGGCAAAGCTGCAAAAAAGGGCCACTTGCAATGCAGCCGCATGCAGGCGCCTCGACGAAGCGATCTTGATCTTACTGTAGTGGAGCTGGAACTGGATAGTACGACCTGGCAGACAAAAAGGCATCCCAAATTCCAAGGACTAAGGAGTGGCCGTCAACAAATGTATGGCTTTGGAGGCTTTGGAAGGACAAAATGGATCCTCAGATTGGGGCTGGCTAGAAAGGTGCAAGCCTCTACTATGCTATGCTAGGATTCGAGCACTTTGGTCGGACTGGATGTAGCTCCAAAGGAACCAGCGGCCAGGGCCTGGACATAGGGAGGGTCGAACAGTGACATAACAGCCCTGCACTGCAACCGGTCTGCCTGATAGGCTGGAGCCATTGAGGAGCTCACCCCAGGCCTCTCAAATTGTGTGTTTTTCACGAGTAAAACAAGAAGAAGATCATGCGACCATATCAAATGAGAAAGGATGATGATGCTGCTGTTTCTTCTTTCATGCATTCTGCGCGTGTGTGCGCATCGTGTGCGTTGTGTGGTTGCGCATGTGTAAAAGAGCCTTGGAGTCTTAGACGATGTCCTGAACATAAGCCGGGTACAGCGGCCTAACGTCTTATTTCTTACTACGTTGCCCAAAGATGCCAAAAGAAGCTATGAAATATGGGTGGATGAGTGGTCTGAACCCCTTGCATCTGCATGCATTCAACTCTGGGAGGTCTGTATAAGTCCTCGTTCCGGGCTGTTGCAGATTTACCAGGTCTTTTAACTTACAACTGCGGTCGCTCATTCAGGTTGGTTCGCTTGTTTGGATCGTGCTTCTTTGCCCCTTCCTTGAACATCTTGAACCTACCCAGGCACTTATCCTCCTCACTTGGGTATCTTCAGAGCTTGGGACCATCAATCATCGTATGACATGTATGACTCCAGTGATCATTATCGTCTTATCGCGTCAGTCGTTCATATTTGCTAAGTTGATCAACTGTGATGCCATTCTTCCCACTCTTCCCACTCTTCCCACTCTTCAGTGACGGTGGAGGCCTCCCATCTGCCAACCGGCTCAGCTCAGCTAGGACCTGTGCAAATCGTAAACCGAAAGCATGAACCCGACAAGAAGAACACGACCATGAGTCCCCCTCATTTTGGTTCACATCGGAAAAGCCCGAGGCACCTGATACGAATCCGACCGCGCACTGGGTGAACTTTGAGGCATATCATACAATATCATATCATATCATATTATCCGCCGACCCCGGCCTATAGCCAAAGCCTAGGCGGGGAGGCGCCTGGGACACCGCAGGGTGAAGCAGTTGGCCAAGCCTTGCAGAACCCTTCCAAGCACTTCCAAAGGCATGTGTGCAGGTGCATTGTGGTTGGCCGCGGCCTCTCGGTGGCCTGTCCGAGGCCTGCCTCTCCTCTTGTTATGGGCTTTTCCGAAAGCAACGTTAGACACCCACGGGCCCCGCCCTCAAACCCTCCTCGGCAGCCGGCAGGCCGCGGCCTCTCTGTGGCCTGTCCGAAGCCTGCCTCTTCTCTTCGC